TGGCGGGTGCTCTCAACCGCAAGGTGGTTGTTGCTTCGATAAAGGATATATGTTTGAGGATAACCATGGTTACTCAGCATTTGGAGCGGATTCATGAGGCTCAAGTTGAGGCTATGAAGGAGGAGCACCGGAAGAGTGAGCGTATTGTGAGTCTGGTGGCTTCCTTCGATTATGATAGTTGTGAGTTGTTGACTCTTCATCAGTAGATTTAGATTCTGTATTGGGGAGGTTTGCATCATGTCCTGATGGACGAGGCACACAATTCTAGGTTCTCCATTCATCCTGGGGCGACGAAGATCTATAAAGATCTTCATCCTGATTATTAGTGGCCCTGCATTAAGCGGGATGTGGCTTGGTATCTGGAGCGGTGCTTGACATTCCAGAAAGCCAAGGCCGGACATCAGCTACCTCACGAAATGATGTAGCCATTGGAAATTCCTGTATAGAAATGGGAGGATTTACCATGGATTTTATCACAAGGTTGCCACAGACTGCAAGCAGAGTGGATTCGATTTGGGGCATCGTGGATCGTTTGACCAAGTGTGTGCATTTTATTCCGATTTAGGAGAGTATTTCTGCAGAGAAATTGGATGAGGTTTATATCAGGGAGGTTGTGGTACGTCACAGAGTTCCGGTTTTGGTGGTTTCTGTCAGAGATGTTCGGTTTACTTCCAGATTTTTGAAGAGATTCCATGACGAGTTGGGTACTCGTCACCTTTTCAGCACAACCTTCCATCCGTGTACCTATGGTCAGAGCGAGCAGACGATTCATACATTTGAGGATATGTTACGGGCGTGTGTTTTGGACTTTGGTGGGAGTTGGGATACGTATCTTCCATTAGCGGAATTTTCGATAACAACAATTATCACACCAACATTGATCAACCTCCTATTGAGATGCTCAATGTGAGGAAATGTAGGACCTCGATTTGTTAGGGTGAGGTTGGTAAGTGGATTATGGGGAGTACTGAAGTGGTACTCAAGACCATTGAGTTGATTCAGCAAGTTTGGAGTAGGCTCCAAACAGCTTAGAGTCGATAGAAGAGTTATGCTGACAGGCACCTCTCACACTTAGAGTTCTAAGTGGGGGATATGGTTCTCCTGTAGATGTCACCTTGGAAAAGGATCATTCGATTTAGGAGGAGGGGCAAGCTGGGCCCCATGTATATCGATCATTTTAGGGTTTTGGCTAGGTTGGACTGAGTTGCATATCGTTTGGATGGTGAGCTCATCCAGATTCATAACATATTCCATGTCTCTCAACTGCGCAAGTACCTAGTGGATGATTATGTAGTGGTACCATTGTAGGATAATCAAGTGGACGACTACCTGAACTATATTGAGAGACCAGTGGCGATTTTGATCGAATGACGAAAACCTTAAGGAACAAGGTTTTTGAGTTGGTGAAAGTTCAACGACAGCATCGCAAGGGTACCAAACTTCGAGGAAGAATTCTTATTCAAGGAGAACTATACAGAGTTATTTGGAGTAACAAACTTCGAGGAAGAATTCTTATTCAAGTGGGGGAAAATTGTAACATCCAAAACCTTAAGGTACCAAATTCATTCTTTTATTCGCATTATAAGGGTCCTCACGACATGAGATCTTAGGGATCATGTCGTGATTAACAATTAAACTATTGACCCGTGTTTCTGGACAGTCACAACGTGAGGCATAAGGTCTCACGATGTGAGCGTGGATTAATGACCCAAAAGCCAAATATTCGACTATTTAAGTGAATGAGAGGCTAGGGTAATCCATCCTTAGCCTCCCTCTGTCACACCCCCAACCCAGAACGGCTGAAACGTCTGGGGGCGGATGACTTCATGTACAATGTCATAACAATTGAATAATAGAGATGTTAGGGTGTCAAACCAACAAATTATGGGATAAAATAATATTAATATAACTCAAATCACTGCTTTTTCTAATACTAAAGATAGTATAGAGTAAGCAGGGTCGGTCCACAGAGATACGGGACTTTTTATCTTGCCATATTTTCACACATAATACAAGTAATATTGAAATGGGGGTTTGTATTTAAACTTGAATTAAACTTCATAAATAAGAAAGATTGAAAACAAACGCAGTAAAAGAAGTACATTTCCGATTCTGACTCTTATATATGTATTATGTTGAAAGATGTAATATGATTATAACTCATGTTCAATCTAGGTTGGTAAGTTGGATATTAATAAACTCTAATATCCAAATTGGCAAAAGTATTTTATTCAAAATAAGCTCTTTAAATAAAATTTCATTTATTTGATTCAACCCAAATAAGCTCTTGCATTAAATCATTAAATGACATTAGATTCTTGCACTAATTACCAACAATGTTTAACATTCCTCTTAAGCTTGGGAATATAAACATTTAATCTTTGATTGCACTAATTTTGATCTAATTACAACCAAGTAAGTGAGTGTTACTAACATCAAATCATAAAACATATACGAATTTCATGATTTGATTAACTAGATTGAATAGAACCCTAGTTCATTGATCAAGTGAAAAAGAAAACTAACTAAACACATGATTAAGATCAAATCAAAGATTACTAGATGTTAAACATAAGTCGAATTCAAGTTACAGCCTAACAACACATACTTAAGAATTCAGATTCGGAAATGATAATAAAATCAACCACACATATCTAGGTTGGACTACAGATCAAACAAGTTTAAACTTCAAATTGACTTACAAAAAGAAATTAAAGTGTTTTCCAAGTGTTAATCTACTTGCCAAAGCTCTGAAAATCGTCTCTTCTCCTCCCAAAATTTCAACCTAACTTCCATAAAAACTGATTGTCTGAATTATAAGAAGACAAAAACCACTTTAAAATTGTCGAGACGTTTACACGGCCCGTGTAAATCAAAGGGTTCCATTTACACGACCGTGTAAACAAGAAAAGTAGAATGCTTAATTCTTCCAGGTCTTCGAAGTAGAATGTCCTTGCATATACGTTTACACAGCCCGTGTAAATCAAAGGCATAAATTTACACGACCGTGTAAACTCCTGTGAAGCCAAATTCTTCATTTCTTCATTCTCTCTCTTCAAAGCTCCAAAACTTCTACAACTTTGTCTCTAACTCTTGATAACTTCCTCCAACAAGATCCAACCTTCATAAGTCCTTGAAATATCCTAAAAGCGTGTGAATGGAATTGCATCATGAAAAATCCCGAAAATATACAAAATGCATGAGTTTAAACCTAAATGTAATGCACTTTTATGAACTAAAACTATAAAAATGAATGCATGAACTGCACCTAACAAATCTCCCCAAGCTTGCCTTTCTTGTCCTCAAGAAAGAACAAGAAGATTTAAACTGAAAAAAAAAAATAGAATAGAAGAAAAAAAAAATCAAAGTTAAAACTATTTAAAACTTAATGCATGAAATCAAAAAAAAACATGAAAAGATCCAACCCAATTACCCTGTTTTGTACCATAGTTGAGAATGTACCTGTCATGCCTCGAGTTAACTTTGGTTTAGTCTCAAAATATTAAATGATAATAGAAACAAGACTTTGGCTACTCCCTAGTACAACTCAACAGAATTAAAGATCACAACACTTATTCCTTTTCAATATTATCAAGTCAATTCTTGGAACAAATTATGGTCTTACTCTCGTGAAATTATATGTGACAAAACATGCTCAACCATCTTTGTTTCATAAAATATAACAATGTTCGATTCCAGCTATTTGTTGGTCAACAACAATCTTTTTTTGAAAAATCTTTTCTAAAAATTCCCTAATATTTATCTAGATTGGTTACAAACTTCAAACCACTTACACCAGTCGAAGTAATTAACATTCAGTCCAATGTCATAAATTCAAATCCAAGTCCAATGGAATCTTTTGACAGCCATTTATTTTTCCTAAACACAACATCTAATTAAACTATAAACACAACTATGTACAAACTTTCTAATTACATTTTTTTATAAATAAAGCTCATGGCTTTCTTTGAAATCCGTGTAGCAGGCTTTCAACCAACACATCCAAATCAAATGACCTTAGTGTGCTAGATTTAAAGAGATCCCTCGGGTTTACTTGCCCGAACCTCAAAGGCCACAGATTAGCTTTATTATCTATTATTAAGTTCATGACTTTCTATGGAACCCGTATAGCGAACTTTCAACCCAATCAATCCCAAACAATTTAGCTTTAGGTGATTAGGTGTAGAACACCCCTCAGAGTTTACTTGTTCGAATCCCAAAGGTCACAGATTAACTTAATAATAGTTATTTATTTATTTATTTATTTATTTATTTATTTATTAAATATAACACATATACAAATAACTAAGTTAACACATAACACTCTTATTAATTTATTTATTTGACCAATTTCCTTATATTTCCGTCCTTGACTTTTCTATTGTGGGACATCTCACGGTCTATTACCATGAGGACTTCTAAGACATTTTTCGGGGGACTAAATGTTAACATGCAAAAACCCGTAAGTATAGTTGAAAGCTATGTCCTCAAGCAGGGTATATATAAAAGGGAATAAGTAGAAAGGACTTTTAAGAGCGCTGGAAGGCGGGACATTGAGATTTTGCATTCTTTTTATGAACTTTTGAATTTGACATTTTAAGTTCAATTGAGCATTACTACTCATAAGACCGGTCATATGTCCCAAAGAATTAACTCATACCTGCTGTTATGCTTCAGTGTTGACAATCTTCTCATTTTCTGTTTTGCACAAGTAGCTTCGGGAGATGTGCTCGTGTGTGATTAACTTGCTTTTAGATTTTTTTCAATAAGAAGAGCAAGCCAATTTCAAGGCACATGACTCATTTACCTGCTCAACTGTTTTGAAAAGATTCGGTCGCTTGGGATTGGATCGTTTTTTTTTTTCCTTTAATTAAGAAAAATTTTCCATGCAGAAAAAAAAATGAAAACGAAAATGAAATGAAAATTAATGCAATATGTACAAAACTACATGCAACCTACATGCAACGGGATAATGCATGGATGGATACCCCTCCCCAAGCTTAAAGTATAGCATCGTCCTCGATGCTTGGAGAGAGGCGTAGCCGTCCTATTGAGGATCGGGCGGAGGATATGGAGGGAACTGTGAAGGGTAATCTGTAGGATAGTATGGAGGCCATTGGGGTTGGGATGCTGATGGCTGCTGCGACTGTGTGGGGAGCACAAGAACTCAAATGGATATCACTCAGCAGATGGTGAATGTTGCGGTTGTGCTGCACTTGAGTAGCCCATCTTTGATCTTGCTCAGCCCACCGCAACTCTTGTTGGGCCCAATGCTCTTCCTGTAAGTTACGGTAGTCCTGAAAATCAGAAGTGATTTCAGCGACACCCGTATAAATGTCCCCGACTTCCTGTTGTAGACTGGTGTAACGATGATTCAAACACGCAAACTCGCCCATATAAAGATTATGTTCAGAAAAAGGAATAGGGCGACAGGAGCTAGAAGCACCAGCAGTAGGAGCAGGAGGAGGAGAGGATGGAGGACTATGGTCTACTGTAACACCTAAGTTGGATCTGAGTTTCCAATTAGTTGATGGGATATCATTGGCTAAATTGAGTATCTTCTTATTTCTACTTTCTATACGTAGATACTCTTTCCCATCTACTGTCCAATGAATATCCCCAGTGGGAAGGCGGTGGAAGAGATGCATTGTTTCCATAACATCAATTGATAGACGAGTACGGCCCATGATGATGTTTGTTGGGTTATTAGGTAGATGGAGGCCAAGATGCTCTACAATAATAGAAACCATGCCTCCACAATGTAGCTGTCCACCATTGCTCGTAGCACTTCTGAGCATTTTTTGAATAACCCAACAACCAAAATGAGGGACTTCTGCAGGCTTGTTAATCATACACCACAAGACTTCTAGCTCTTTCTTATTAGCCTTGCTAATCTCTTCTTGAGGGAATAAGAGAGAAGCAATGATCCGGTGAGCTACTTTCAAGACCGGATGGATAATGCTAGAAGCTTTGGCAGTGCCTGATTGATACTCATACTCACAAGAGATGTTTCTCCAAAAATTTGCACAGTCTTGCTCAAAAACAACATTTTTTCAACCCTTAGCTGTGTATATATCCCTTCTTGCTTTAGGAGCACCAATCATATCGCAAAGGATATCAGCATGAAATTGATGGGTTTGGTTGAGCAGACGGAAAGTTAGGAGATGGGTTTGATAGTCAAAGGTAATGGAAGACAAAAGTTCCAACATCGGTGTTTGGAAACTAACTGCATGAAGATTCAAAAGACCCTCCCATCCTATGTTTTTAAAAAGCTTCTGAACACCCTTGTATATGTGTAAATCTTTGAGGGCCTGGATGTCCACAAATTTTTGAGCACCCATTGTTCTTGTAACAAGATTTGCATACAAGATTTCCTATCGATTGGTCTAAAAAATAAGACCAAATTCATAGGGGTTGTCTATGGCATGTGGGTCTTGTTCATCATGTGAAGTGCCAACTGTATGTCTTTTACCCCGGGAAGCCATAACCCAAATGAATCAACAAAATATTGCACACAATTAAGACAATTGAAGCACAAGAACTAGCAAGTTTCACCAAAAAACACCCAAAAAAGGAATGTGTTCTATCTAAATGCACAAAGTAAGAGTTTGGAACAATTATACCAATTTGTGCTTGATAATGGTGGTAAGATGATATCCAATGCTTCCCCAAGCTATCCCCAAGCTTATCCTATAAGAAATTTGAAACATTAGGTTGAGATTTGAAGTTTAAAAATTCTAGGGTTTTGTTAAAAAAACCCAAAATCGGCCATGGGAGAAGGATATAGATGTGGAAGATAAAGAAGATGAAGAAAAGGGAGGAATTTCATACCTTGGTGCTTGATTTTTTTGATGCAAAATTGAGGAAGATTGAGTATTTGGAAGGGTTTTTTCGAAGGGGGCAGTAGGGAGAGAGGGAATCGCGGGTATTGAGTGAAGAATGAGTTAGAAAAATCGAGATTTGACCTTAAAATCGTTCAGCCCTGTTTTTGCGTTTACACGGCTCGTGTAATCAAAGGGGAGGGTTTACACGGCCGTGTAAATCCCTGAATCATTAAAACCGTGTTCAATCGTTTACACGGCCCGTGTAAATGCAGGGCATAAGTTTACACGGCCGTGTAAACTTCTGAGAAAGCCAAAAACTTGATTTTTTTCACTTTTTGAAATTGCAACCCGCTAAACCTCTACTGCCCGAAAAATGATTTTTAACCTTTTTTTAGCATTAAAAACAACTTGGAAGTTTGAAAATAAAGAAAATACAATGAAAATATACGAAATGACAAAAATTCCCCCGGGTTGCCTCCCGGTTAGCCGCCCCTTTTTCATGTCGTTGGCTCGGCTTGGATCCCAACTATTTGTCAATTTTCATACTTTGGATCCATTACTTCCTCCACCTCTTCATTCTTGACTTGAGATCCTTCATAATAAGACTTTAAATGGTGACCATTTACCTTAAAAATCTTCCCGGTTTTCTCACTTGTGATTTCTATTGCACCATGCTCAAAAACATTAGTGACAACAAATGGTCCCACCCAACGGGACCTTAATTTATCAGGAATCAATTTAAAACGCGAATGGTAAAGTAGTACCTTTTGACCTTTGTGAAATACCTTGTGCGTGTAATCATCTTGTTCATGGAATGCTCTAGTCTTTTCCTTATAAAGAACCTCATTCTCATACGCTTCATTGCGGATTTCTTCCGATTCTTGTATGTCCAGCTTCCTCTTCTTTCCCGATTCACTTAAATCCATGTTGAACTGCTTGATTGCCCAATATGCCCTATGTTCCAACTCAACGGGTAATCGACACGGCTTTCCAAAAACAATACGGTATGGCAACATTCCAATTGGAGTTTTGTATGCAGTGCGGTACGCCCACAAAGCATCACAAGGCGTGTACTCCAATCTTTCCTTGTTGTATTCACGGTTTTCTCCAAAATGCCCTTGATTTGTCGATTGCTCACCTCAGCTTGTCCATTTGT